TACAGAGAGTCATTTTTATATCATGAGCATCACTTTCATGGGCCTGGCCAAAGCTAACTGGACTCAACTCTGTTTATTTTACAATTTTCCTTTTCTAAAATGTTCTCAGATGGGGGCAAGGGAGGGGACTCTGAATGAATCCTCAGACTGTTCAGTCTTAAAAAAATCTCTCTTTGAATTGAATTTGATTTTTGTCTTACATTCTTATTTCTTTTTGCTCATTCAGATCTTCTGATACCACCCACGACATTTTTCAAACATCTTTCTAACTCGAGTACAGAGTTATATTTCTCTCTTGCAATTACAGAGTGTCGTTCTTAAGGCCTTAGTACTTAGTAATGTAATTCTGCCCACACAATGTAAGCTGAAAACTGACAAGATGATTAAAAGGAGACGAAGACCTGAAGGCTGACGTTATACATCAGGGAATAACAGTTTACTTAGATTTAGTTTTAGTGACCATTCTTATGGCAGGAAATTTTAGAATATGTAAAAATACTTGTTTGGATACCTGTTGCCTGCTAATACACTGCAGGATTTTATTAGGTATGTGGGTGGCGCTGTGGGTTAAACCGCAGAAGCCTCTGTGCTGCAAGGTCAAAAGACCAGCAGTCGGAAGATCAAATCCATGCAACAGAGTCAGCTCCCGTCGGTCGTCCCAGCTCCTGCCAACCTAGCAGTTTGAAAGCATGTAAATGCGAGTAGATAAATAGGTACCACCTCGGTGGGAAGGTAACTGTGTTCCATGTCTAGTTGCGCTGGCCACGTGACCACTGAAGATTGTCTATGGACAAATACTGGCTGTACCGCTTGGAAATGGGGATGAGCATCGCCCCCTACAGTCAGACACAACTGGACATTTGTCAAGGGGAACCTTGACTTTTACCTACTTGTGAATGCCTTGCTTTCTTCTCCCTCTGTCCCATTACGATGCTTGCCATTTAATTTCAAAGAGAGACTTTATTCCTTTCAAAATGTGGGAGACGGCAACAGGTGAACTTGTGTACATAAAAGGACATTTTGCCTCCTGAAATATTTTCTGTTCTCCCTATTTGATTATTTGATGGAAGTTTATTTATTTGGTCCATATTATGAGGCAGAGTTTAAGAATGAATGCTTATTATATTTGGAAAACTTCAAGGTGAAATACATCAGCATGACGTTAGTATGATGGTGGCCTATATTAAAATATAATACTATGCTAGCTTCTTCAATTAATAAGTTTGGGCATGATCCCATTTTTCCCATGGTAGCTGCTTTCAGAAATTGTCTTTGCTCAAGAGCTGCTTGTCATGCCTCAGGAAGACGTGGGCTGTACCCCTTGTTTCTTAACCACTGTGTATGTTCCTGTCCTCTCCTTTCCCCTTTTCAAGTGCTGTGGGCTTCCTACACAAAACAATCAGAGAGCTGACAAGATTTTTAAAAGATAGAGCAAGAGTTTAAGCCAAATTTCAAATCCAGAGATAGTAATTACTCAGGATGTAAACCCCCCTGGTGGATTGATTAGGTGGCTGAAGAGAACTGAAAACAAGTTTTTCCTCCTCTCATACATACTGCCTTTTTAGGGCCTTCCTGCTGCTGCTTTTTATTTCATTAGTAAAAAATGGGGAAAAAGCATGTGAAGATAATATTAAGCATGACACTTCTGGGGCCCAGAACTGTGTCGGCTGGGAGCTAGAGACATGAGCAGCTCTGGGTATTCTTGGATTCCCCTCCCTTCTAGGATCTACAGTTCCAGGTCTATTTCAGGTTACGTTTAGGCTTGGGCTTGGCAGCAACACAGTCTTGGGTTGCCCAAGGTTTGACTGGGCCTGAGGCAAGATGACCGTGTGTTTCAACTAAATCTCCTAGACAACTCTTAGATTTTTTTTTTGATTGACTATTTGAGACTTGCTGCCCGTATACATTTCCTCCCCTATCTGATTATTTCCAGGTTTATTTCTCTGCATTTTTACTACAGTGTACCATAGAGCTGTGTCTTGTAAAAAAAAAACAAAAAATAAAAAAATAAAAAAAGCAAATAAGCAAACAGCCCTCAGCATATTGGGAACTGCTGAGGAGAATTTTGTGGAGATTTGGGTTAAGCATCATCAGGAGAGACTGGTGATGACACCAAACCAGCATTGAGAATGGCATGGGGTGGTAACATATCTGGGTGGGTGTGAGTCTCATTAGATTTCCTGCTCCCCTACCCGGATATGTAAAAGTACTAATTATAAGTAAGTAAATGTTCAAAACTGGAAGGGGACTTCTAACCACTGGTATTTTCATTCTTTTATGTCATTTTATTTTTTTATACAGTGGTGCCTTGCTTAGCGATTGCCTCATTTAACAATGTATTTGCTTAGCGATGAGGTTTTAGGAGCAATCTTGCGCTCCGTTTAGTGATGTTTCCAATGAGGGAATTTCGCATAGCAATGTTCGGGACCTTGCTTCGCTTAACGATGACAGTTTAGGTCCCCCTGTTTCGCTTAGCAATGTTTTTGACAGCTCTGTTTTTGCTATTTTTAAAAGGTGTTAAATTGTTTTAAAGGGTTTAGAGTGCTTGAAATCGTTGGTGCACTTAATAAACCCTTTGTTAACCAAATTTGGCTTCATTCTGACTCTTTTTGAATTTTTGGTGATTTTTTTTCTCCCCCATTGAAATGCATTGAAAAGGTTTCAGTGCATTCCAATGGGGGAACCGCGTTTCGCTTAGCGATGTTTCCTATGGCGATTTTCGCTTAAGGATGGCAATCCGGTTTTCAATGCATCTCTATGGGAAAACGTGTTTCGCTTCGCGATGTTTTCCCATAGCGATGAATTTTTTGGCACCAATTAAAATCGTTAAGTGAGGCTTTAGTATTTTGGTGAACTTTGTGGCCTCAGAAAATGGGCTTCTGGGCTTGCCAGTTTCACACCTCTGCCCCTCCCCCAAGTTCCCCTCCCCCAATTCAGATTATCAGATTCCGTTGACAGACTGAAGAAACTGAATTAATGCCTCAGATTAGACATGGATT